GCCAACTTAGCGACTTTGACGCTATTTCTAGCAGCTTCTCAGACCCCCTTCTTGACTTTTTAATCCTAAAAGTACCTAGCGAACATCTCAGAAACATCTCTGGTAACCCTTAGCTACTTTCTGGATAACGGTCGTCGACATTTCCTGCAGGTTAGCTAAACACTCCGCCTGCGCTCCGGACCGTTCTTCACAACATTAGGAAAGGGAATGATGCAGTGATGTGTCGGTCGCTAAAGACAGCTCTCGGAGCCGGCTCCCTGTTGGATTAACCAGAGTGAGTGACACACACACCGCACCTGCGGACTCCTGAGCAGCTAAAAACAGCTAAATGTGCGCGTGCAGCGTGCTAAACACACGTGCAGCTTGCCCGATTGCTGTGAGACCGGGTTGGGGGGTGGGGGGTGCAGCTGTGGTTGGGACAATTATTACATTAACTGATGGGCCTGTAAATAAATAGTTTATAAATAAGGTAGAAATAAGTTCCTCACGCTGATAACTAATAACTAACCTCTCTGAGGACACGGTGCTCCTACAGCACCTTGACACGACTCAATAAATGTAATGCAACATTTTGTGAACATCAATTTATTTGCATTTATTTGTTATAAATGCCACTGTATAATTCTTGCTGTCAGTATTTGCAAGTTATTGGTATTTGGTTCTGTACTGGTTAGACTTAAATGAGTTAAACCAAGGTCTATAGCCCTTGGGTCATAAACTATGAGCTATAAGTATATTGGTCTTTTTATACTGGGAATCAGGAGTTATTTTAGTGATCATCTTGTTTCTTATTTTTGTCCTAATTGTGCCCTGAGCAATTTTATGACTGAATAAAAACAAAGAAAATCATCATAAATTGAAAAATTGTCCTAAATAATCGTGATCTCAATTTCAGTCACAAAAATCGTGATTATTATTTTTGCCATAATCGAGCAGCCCTAGCTAATAGTGTATATATAGTGAGACAATTCATGATTTAAAATGTTAACTTTCGCCAGTTTTTGTATGCACGTTTTAAAAAATGCTGATACTTGAAAGGTTTAAGCACTTTATACACTTAATTCTTAACATTTAATTTTTGCAATATAAATTGAGGAATGTTATTTTTTGAATAAACTCAGGGGTGGACCGTTAAAGCGCCCGAGCGCCAATGGCGCTAAATTTTCTCGTCGGGCGGTAAATACTTGACGACTTACCGCCCGGGTGGCGCCCAAGCCTTAAGCCTGATTTATGCTTCTCCGTCTGCGTCAGTGCGGAGACACGCAACGCCATTATCCGTCCTTGCGTAGGGCTCGCAAGTACGTACGGAGTCGAGCCCACTTTTTTAAACATCCGTCGAACGAGACTGATTACGCAAGCTTGTGATTGGTCAGGACGCCGCTGTTTACAGCTCCGCCATTGCGCCCTCAAAAACATAAAGAGAGCCGAGGATAACTAGCGGCAGGCACGGAGAAGCTTGAAGAATACCTCGCGAAAAAACTCTAAAAACATGAACGTTTAATTCTCCCGTGACTGGAGGAGTGAAAAGATGCGCAGTAAGCGTTTTATTTGTGGACGGAAATGACAGGAAACGTGGGTTTAGAGGTGGCGAGCGCATGAAGTGGAGAAGAATGAGAGACAAATATGTCCGTGTTAAAAGTCTCTTATATACACAAAAAACACAAAATAAACACACTATCTTGGACCGATACATGACAGGATACCACAGAACAGCGCTACGCCCTCTGTTGTCCTGCCGGGGAATTGCTTTGCAACACTCTCCAGGAGACGGAGAAGTATGAGAGCAAAACGCTTCCGTCAATCCGTGCGTGTCTGTCCCTTGCGGGGCTGACGGAGAAGCATAAACCAGGCTTTATTTGTCATTTACACACTGGCTTTCACCTACATCATGGCCCCGCCCTGTAGGAAGCCGCCGTTTTCGTTTCGCGCGCGTGAACCTGCGCGCCTCTAGCCACGTTCTGCACTTGTATGATTCGTGCACGTACTGCACATTCTAGTTATAGTCACGTGAACTATAAGTTCACTATTAAAGACGAAGTGGAACCACGCTAGAAACACACAAGCACGCAGGAAGATCGCGCCACCACAGGGATGGGATTTCTTGATGAAATCTCCGGCAAAACGCTTTAAAACTGGTGAGGAGAAGCGAGACAGTTCGAAACGGTATGAAGCAGAGAAGCGTGTGCGTAGGTGGAATGATTCTTGGCGGTTTAAAGAAGAAGGGAGGCGCAGAGAATGGCCGTGTTCGAGTTGAGCAGCGCATCGCCTGGAAAACAGGCGAGATTAGACGGAAGCAGCGGGGGGAGTGGCTGAAAGCCGGCGTTTCGCCGGGGACACACCGGCCGCGGAAGCGCCCGAAGCGCCGAGAAGCGAATTGCTCACGAAATTCGGCCTCTGCTCGCCGCTCCTCAGTTCAGATCAGACGCGCCCCATTTGAGGCGCGCCTCGGCTCAGCTGTAGTTTTTCTTTTAACTACTTGTCCTCCATTTCCTCTCTTTTCTCAGCTCTTTTCCTCTACGTGTGTGTGTGTGTGTGTGTGTGTGTGTGTGTGTGTGTGTGTGTGTGTGTGTGTGTGTGTGTGTGTGTGTGTGTGTGTGTGTGTGTGTGTGTGTGTGTGTGTGTGTGTGTGTGTGTGTGTGTGTGTGTGTGTGTGTGTGTGTGTGTGTGTGTGTGTGTGTGTGTGTGAGTGAGTGAGTGAGTGAGTGAGTGAGTGAGAGACTATGCTGTGAACCAGTTGTTTCTGCCAGTTGAATCTCTTGGATTTTCCTGCATGTGTAGCTCGGGGGTGACGATGGCTGAAGATATCGCGTCAGCGTTCACATTTGTTTAATTTTCAATTTTAATTCTGGTGCCTGTTAGCAGCTGAAACACATCCTCACGTGCTTGTGGATATCATATAATGTATATGAAGACCTGACTGTAATAATTAAAGGTTATCAGCTGTAGGTTTAGTGTGCTCATAGGAAACGTGACAAAAGAAAACAAAACACATTTCTCTTTATGGCCTATATGTGATTTATAGAATACATGTGAACAACTAACATTTCATGTTCTACCACCGAATGTTTGGATCAAAATATGAACCAATCAGATCTTAGATCAGGTGAGAGCCAGGCGTTTCACATCATCATCTAGGTTTTGCAGCCGAGGGAGAGCAACTGCAGCGCCTTGCTCCAAAATCTGCGGCCGCCTTGATCTCACAAGTTTATCGTTGTCTACGTATGCATGACGTCAGAGCAAGTCGGCATCAATTCGGACACGAATCTAACCGGCATGCACTGCTCGCCGATCACTGCTGGTCTAGTCTGCGCAGAACTGGCTCATCTCGAACACAGCCGATGGCTCGAATACAGCAAAGCGGAGTTGGTGATGTACTGCGTTGTATGCCGGAAGTATGCGACGACAAAATCGAGTTTTGTTGAGGGAACAAACAAATTCAAACTTGAATACGTTATTATGTTTGTGAATGTGTACAAAATAAAGGTTTATTACATTTAAAACAGTTCTGTTATTATTTTGACTCGTTTTGGCAGCTGACCAGTGGGGCCGGTAGATTCTTGGTGGGGCCGGTAAATATTCAGAGTTACCGGCCCGGCTGGCCGGTTGGTTTTGAAGTTAATGTCCACCCCTGAAACTTGTTCAATAAATTGGTGGTTTTAAATTGTATCGAAATCAAGTATCGAGTTTTTTCCCCCAGTATCGAACCGAGTTTAAAATTTTAGTATCGTGACAACCCTATGTGTGTGTGTGTTTGCCTTTATCCATTGCAGATAGATTTGGCCTGTATATTAGGAGGAATGTGATTATACAGTTTAAACATGCAGCCATTATTTTTTTTCCCAGCTCATTTTGCATCTCATGCTATGGCAGATGAGGGAGAAGCAGACAGGGAGGGATTGGTTAGCAGACCTGCCAAAAAGAAGAGGGTTCATTTGTCTCAGATGTTTTTGTACTAATATCAAGAACAGTGTCCATGCTTGCGACCCTAAACAACCTCACCATGCATTTTGCACAATCTTCAATTATAATGTGGACATGAGCCACCAGGGAGCTGCAGGTAATTAGTAAATTATCCCTGGTGATGTGTGCAAGCCAATTTAATATTACATTCTTGAGAATAGAAACACCTATTGCAATTTACAAAATAAATAATTACCATTAAATACATATAAATGTTGTTTTATTTAATTCGTATTGAAATAATGTAATGCAAGTAACTTGTATAAGCACAAATATTATATAAGGAAACTTTTGAGTTTTACTGTTTAATATTAAAATACATGATACTTGGGAGTCAGGTCAAACTGTAAAAATGTCTAACCTTACTAGTCAAAATAAGAACTATGAACGTGTGTGTGTGGGTGTGGGTGTGGGTGGGTGGGTGGGCGTTGTACATACTACATACTGAGGACCATTTTGACCATTTTCCCTACAAAGTGAGGACATTTTTCAAAGTTAGGATGTTTTTTTGGTCCTCACGTTTTTTAGAAGCATACCAGAAGCTTACTGTAGTAGTTAAAGGTATGGTGTGAATTAAGTTTTAGTTAAGGTTAGGAATAGATCAGAGTTGGTTATGGTTATGGTTGGGTTATGGGTTAGGCATGGTGAAATCACAAAAATGAATGGAAGTCAATGGAGGGTCCTCACTACGATATAAAGACAGATGTGTGTGTGTGTGTGTGTTCGTGTGTGTGCGTGTGTGTGTGTGCAAAATTTTCCATCCAGTGAATGGGGAGATTTAAGCGTGAAAAGCAATGGAGTTGCAAAAGTCCAAAAAAAAAACGCCGCACAATTGGTACTCAAAAGAAGCTAAGCTTACTCTGTGATCATTAAAAGCATGTGTACATCCAAACAGACTCTTTTACATGTTGCTGTTTTATGTTTAATACTTTGATCAAGTGGCATCTGGCCCCTAGAAACATTTGATCCAGGAAAAGTTTTGGTTCTGTGAATTTAATTATGAATAAGTTGATTAAGTCATCTCTGATCTGTGTTTCCAGATGGGTCTGGGTACAAACGGGAATCCGTTTGGGACTCAGCCTTATGGTCAGGGTGCTGCGGGACCGGGACAGCAACTGAACCCCCAGCAGCAGCTCCAGAACAAGGCTGCCCTCTCCAACAGCCTGCCACCATTCCCTAATGAGCTCAAAGGAGCTGCTGTTACTAACGTCCCAAACATGGTCAGTTCCATTTAACGTCATGATGCGTTTGTCGTTAGACATCCTCTGCAGAAAAAACACAGCTTCTCGCTTTTGTTCTTTCCTTCCATGTAGCTAAACAGTTAAGGCTAGGGTTAATCTTAATGCTTATCAGCTACACTCACTGGTACATAATCGGGAAGTTTTCAACTTCAACTCTGATCACATTTGACGCATGTTCTCATTACTTCGCCACCCATACAGCAGCTTCAGCAGCAGGCAGCGATGCTCCCACTAGCCAACAGCGGGGGTGTGGCGGTCCCTTCGGCGGGGCCAACAGCTGACCCCGAGAAGCGCAAACTGATCCAGCAGCAGCTGGTACTGCTGCTCCATGCACACAAGTGCCAGCGACGAGAGCAGGCTAACGGGGAAGTGAGGGCCTGCGCCCTGCCTCACTGCCGCACCATGAAGAACGTCCTCAACCACATGACCCACTGTCAGGCTGGCAAATCCTGCCAGGGTGAGTTGAAACAATCGAACCACAACAAAGTGTTGTTGATGGTAAACAGATGCTTAAAAAATGTTCATTTTGTTCTCCTTTCTGTCTCTCAGTCATGTGACAAACTATAAAACACTTAGGAAGAGAGTTTGGCTAAAGAAGTGTGATTGTGAAACTTTTAGCATCTCAACTTTAGAATATACATAGGCAGTGCACGGCAGTAGAATTTGGTGTTTATCGAGAAAATGTCCAAAATCACAAGATTCCAGTTTTTGATGATCACTGCAGAGAAATCAATTGTTGTCCCTCTGGTTGCAGTGGCTCACTGTGCGTCATCCAGACAGATCATCTCTCACTGGAAAAATTGCACACGGCACGACTGTCCTGTCTGCCTGCCGTTAAAGAATGCTAGCGACAAACGCACGCAGCAACGTGAGTATTTCAGCACAAAGCTTAAATGGCTCTGTTGACTCAGCAGGACACGTAGACCCAGAAGCTGCTTGTTTCTTCTAAGTCGTTATGGAGAATTCAGCTTTTACAGGGAAAGACTCTCTTTGTTTTTGCTCCTCTGAAACATCTTTGAAATATCCGTCGGGCATTTTATTTATAAGTTTTCCGTCTCAACAATATGACTGAAAATTCTGAACGAGAGTCTTTCCGAGTTTATATTGTGACTCAGTGGAAGGTTAGAGATGCGATGGAGTGAAGAAGTGTTTACTGTGCTCGTTCAGTCCCACAGAACTATTAATGTTCAGCTCGTTTACAGCCACTCCTCACTTTTACACAGTCTAATTTTTACTCTGATTTAGGGATTTTGACTAAATGATCTCTCGTTTTTCCAGCTATGCTGAACTCCCCGAATGCCAGCCTCCAGAACCCGATGTCATCTGTTGGAATGGGCCAGCCCAGCACACCCACTATCAATACCTCAGCCCCCATAGACCCCAGCTCCATGCAGAGGGCTTATGCAGCTCTTGGGCTGCCCTACAGCAGCCAGGCCACAGGTCAGGCTACAGCCCAGCAGGCCCCTGGTCAAACGGCAGGTGCTCCCAACTCCCAGGGCCAGCAGCAGCCTCCACAGCAGATGAGAGCCATCGGTAAACGCAGACGAGCTGTTTTCATTCACATGAAAAACTTCACTTCCTACTGATCCATCAGTCATTCACTAGAACGCATTACAAGCCCGTATCAACAAACCAGTTTGTTCTAATGTATTTAGTTAAATCAACAAAGAAATATTAAAGATTGGTACAAAGTGACAAAGACATCTCAGAGAGGTTTTCACTGTTTGTCCCAGAAAAAAAGACGTGGCTTCCACCTCTTTTAGCGGACAGAAACTAAGGCTGTTACTCGTTTTTCAGCTCATCCGTGTCCTGTTTCTGTGGTTTTTAGCTAATGGATGTTTGGGAATCTTCTTGATGGTGCCGAGTTGTGGTTTGCATGTCTGTCAAACTTGCCTTTACCATTTTTGTGTAGATTTAACCAGAGACAATGAACAGACTAGTTTTTGTAAAAAACTGCAAAAACTGATGTAGTTTAAAACTGGCTTGAGATTTTAGCCTTATACTGGTTGTATTCCTAGAATGGTGGAAAGAATGTGCACCATGTTTGTAAATAATACCTGACAAACACATGTTCCATATACTGTGTATTATAGAAATAACAAAGCTGATAAATTGTGTTGAAATGCTATGTTGATGGAACTTGAATGATTTTGTTTTTACAGGTAACCAGATGGCTCTGGGAAGTGGGACGATGGGTGTGGCCACCTCTGATCAGACAAACCTCCACACAGACTCCCTTCCCAACACGCTCAACACTAACAAGTCAGTCTCCGCCCTCTGCAGCACATCAAAGATGTTTGAGTTGTGTCGGACTGTGGAAATGTCACTTTAGTGTTTGATGATGCCACGTCAGTAGATACTGTGATTATGTAAAAGCAGATGTGTATTGTTGATTCTGACTTTCCTGTCTCAGCTCCAGTCAGCTGCTGTCAGACGGATCAGCTGTGGGAAACCTGCCCACAGCAGCTCCCATCTCTGCCACAGGCTCCAGGAAGGCCTGGCACGAGCACGTCACTCAGGACCTGCGCAATCACCTCGTACACAAACTGTAAGTGTGTGCCTCAGCTTAAGGGGTGAAACTGCAGATTGTTTAATGTGCGGCCATACAAAAGCTTTTCCTCCCTATAATTCTGTTTTTTGATGTGGTAGAGTACAAGCCATATTCCCCACCCCTGATCCGGCAGCTTTGAAGGACAGACGAATGGAAAATCTGGTGGCCTACGCCAGAAAGGTGGAGGGGGACATGTACGAGTCGGCTAGCAGCCGGGTACGTTCCATCTAAAACCAAAATTAAACGTCTTTAATGAAAAGTACACATAAGCAGAATCATAATGTAATTTCCATTTTCAGGATGAGTACTATCACTTCCTGGCTGAGAAAATCTACAAAATCCAAAAGGAGCTGGAAGAGAAAAGACGATCGAGGATGCAGAAGCAGATCATTAGCCAGGCACCCATGGCTAACCAGGCCCAGCAACCAGGCCTTCCCCAGCCTAACGCCTTGGGCCCGCGACCACAGAGTGAGTGCAAAAATGTTTCAACCCTTCAGATATCATTTGAGCAGGTTCAGAGCACTGTTAAAGGGAAATTCCACCCCTAAGTGAAATTTTGTTTATTTCCGTGTTCCCCAAAGTTAAATAAGTGAGGAAAAAAGCGTTTTGTAACAAGCGCTGTAATTCTCCTGGTCTGACAGCAGTTCGTCTGCTTTAGCTTAGCATAAATAATGGAAGTTTATAGCAGGACTAGCATTTTGTGTGCTAAAGCGATTAAAATTACTCTAATGATACCAATTATTCCTGGTGAGCTCAATAATCATGTTGACTGCAAATGAAAAGTAAAAAATAACACGAAGGATTTCCAGGAGCCGATTTTAACTCAGGGCTACATTATGACAAAGCACCACTGTACTTCACTAGCGGTGTCCCGTTAATATATGTGTGTGTAATGAATGGCGCTGGTTGCCAGACCAACAACCGAATTGTACAATAGTTGCCTACGTGTTATTGGTGGAGGTGTTTAGACAAATGCGAAAGAACCACTTAACTAAAAAAAAATCTCCACAATGTATGATAAAAAAAAGTTTTAAGCTAATTTGATTTCCAAATTTGCTATTTTAGCTTTAAATATGACAAATGTTATTTTAGCTGTAGTCTTTTAGTTGTCCAATTTGTTTTAATTTTAGTCAACTAAAATATATGTATTTTTCTTCTGATGCAATAATTTTCAACTTCTGTAAAGGAAATGTAAAAAAACACCAATTTGAAAGTCTAAGAAATGATAAATTCACATTTAACACTTTTGGTCAGTCAAACTCTATAGTTATAATCATTTTAATAATAATAATTAATGGATAATACCTATATGAACTGATGGTTTGAAATCGTCTCTTATAAAATAAAACAAACAATAAACAAATAAACAAATCTATTTAATGTGCAGTAATATTTGTAAACATGACAGGGAATGACATCATGCCATCAGAACATTAAAAAGTGTTACTCTAATAATTTGAGGAGGTAAACTAAAGGTAAAATGTTTTCAGGTGTGTTTATTAGTGTTTTATCAGCACTAATTTACTAAGGTGGGCTGTCTGAATGTTCTTTCTCACAAAACCACAGCTAGAACACCAAATGATAGCATCAATCACAGCGGTGACACAAACGAATAAACAAGCAGATGCATCGCTCGTTTGGTTTGGCTTTAGTAATCTCTTCTCCCGCCTCAGCTTGTTGCTACCACTGTAAAACTTTTATCACCACAGGAAACCCCTGATGCGTACATACCAAATACTTTTCAAATCGTCACATTTTATGCTTTTCCTCCCAGCTGTGGACATTTTTTACTTTTAGTCATAAATTGATCATAAACATAAAATATGGTCTAGTTACCAATAGCTTGTTCGAACAGCGGTCGGCTCCGGACTCTGATTGGTTCTTTTCTCATCGAATCCCGCCGGTTCCATTGGCTAATTGGTTCTTTTCCCGTTCGCCCATTTTTTCCATTTTCTGAATGGATTTTCATTTTTGTTGTCGTCCTTTAGAAGAAATCAGAACGTTTTTCCTCGAAGCTAATCATTAGCATTAGCAACTCCTCAACATGGTGCAACTCGTTGAGGCTTTTGTTATTAGTGGAGATGAAACATCAACTGTTAATGTTTTTCCCAAGAAAAAACGAATGGAGGCAGTGGAAGAGTCGTGTAACTGTTAGCCAATCAGAGGAGATGTTCACATATCATGAATATAAATGAGGCTCACACACACACACACACACAGCAGATTTCTTGTGAATGTGATCTGTAAAAAGGCAATTAAAACTCATGGAGATCATATTTTTTTGTTTGTTTTGCAGATGGACCCGTTTCCTTACCAAACATGCCAAATCAGATCATGAGTCGCATGCAGGCTCCACAGGGTACACTCTACATGCTTCACTATTTCTGTTTTTTCCCACAGAAAATCTTTAACTTGTAAACTTTTGAGCTAAACCTAAAGAAAAGAAATTCGTATTGTTTGTTTGGCATTTCTTCATGTGTGTTTCTGTCTGATCTTGTGTGGTTTGGCCTGCAGGAATTAATCAGTTCAACCAAATGACTCTGCCCAACGCTCAGATGTCCCAGGCTCCTATGGGAGCCCGAGCTGCTTCTCCTATGAACCACCCACAGCAGCTGAACATCAGCTCTGTCCCAGTGGTAAGAAGACCACATGGCAAATTATAAACACTTAAAAATAAATAAAACATGAGCTATCATTTGACATAGTACAAGTCTTTGCTATGTTTCAGATTAGTTTAGAAGATTATGTTTTGTGTAAATGGATTTTTCTGCAACGTTCCAGGTGGGAATGTCACCCTCTAGGATGCCCCAGGCACAGGGGATGATGCCCGGTCATAGCAGCCTGGTGGCCCAGACAGCCAGTCAGGGACAGTTTATGCCTCAGACCCAGTTTGCTCCTGGATCGGGTGCTGTTGCTGTTTCGAGTGCCATGAATGTCACCGTGGGGCCCGGCATGGGCCAGCCAGCGGCTCAGGCTGCTGTCAGCCAGGTGAGGTCCGGAGCCAGGCGAGAGCTGTGGAGCTGTTTGGCTGCAAAATCCTGCTAATTACTAAATGTTGCCAGGAAATAATAATGAGACATTAACAAGTCATACTGTGCACTAATCAAACCAATCACAGCTCGCTCCCTAAAGCCTAAAATGTTTGTAGTGACCTTTTTACTGTACGTTGTCCGCTTACGTGCGTGCGTGTGTGTGTGTGTGTGTTTTCCTGCTCTTGTGTGTGTCCTTCTCTCCAGCAGCAGCAACAGAACGCTAACCTCCCCCTGAATTCTCTCGGGCCCCCACTGGGCCCTCAGCTAGCCTCCTCCCAAACCCCCTTGCACTCCACGCCTCCACCTACCGCCTCATCCGTCTCCACGACTGGGGTGGCCACTAACCTGCCACACCCCCAGCCCTCCAGTCGCAGCTCCACCCCCACCCTTCCCGGCCCTGTCCCAGCCCAAGCCCAGGGTGCCACCCCACCCTGCCCCTCTCAGCCCCAACCCCAGGTGGAGCTCCCTGCAGCAGCACAGACGCAGCCCCCGCCTCAGCCCCCCACCACACCGGTGAGACTTCAGTCCCTCCGCATGCCCTTTGTGTTGAAACCCCCCCCCCAAACCCCCATCCCTGTGATTGCCATGCACCAACCCATCCCACTGACATCCACCTTTCTAACAACTGCATCCTCACAACTGTTTGTAGCCTTCATCACTGCAGGAATGTCACATTTGTAACACTAAGAGGGAGTTGGTGAAATCAGGCGTTGTGCTTTTGTGCAGATTTTATTTTTGTGCATGCAGGAAAAAACCAAATTCTTTTTGCAAATGTGTCACATTTGACATTCCTTTCTCTTTTTTTGTTTCAGCTTTCTCAACCAGGAGCCAGTTTAGATAACCGGGTGCCCACGCCGGCCTCAGCAGCCAGCGCTGACGTGCACTCTCAGCACATCGGAGCGGACCTGCCGGCCCAGGAGGTCAAAACGGAAACGCATACAGACCAGCAGGAGTTTGAAGCTGCTGGTGGGAAAACTGAGCCCAAAACAGAGGTTGGTTTAGTTTCTGATGCGTTTCTAGGCAAAGAATCACAGGATTGTTTTTCCACTAGTCTTAGTATGTCTGTATTTTTAATCATTTTCTACCTTTCTTTCTGCATATGTACATTAAATCAATGTTTCTAGATCCTGCATGTTTTACCTGTTTCCCTGATTCAGTACGTCTGATTTAAAACAGGCGGTTTATTAATAAAGATCCAGACGGCTTGATGAGACGCTGTGGAAGAAATTCAGTTGTAAAAAGAACTAGAACTGAGAAAAGCTTCTTAACGCAGACTTTACAGTCTCAGTAATAGTCATTGTCTTCATTTCTACCAAACATTTTACTAATGAAGATCATCTGATAAAGTTTCAAATGTAGTTAAAGGTTGACTTTGGAACAATCTAGTAAAAACCTACATAAAAAAGTACCTTCACGGCGCGTTTAGAGGTGTGCAGAATAAAGGTACAGTATTTCCAGAGGCTCAGCCATGGATTTATGTTTAAAACAGCCAATAGAGGGCACCATTGCCAAACTGGCCACTTGGCACAGTGAGGCCTAGTCCACACGTAGCCAGGTTTTTAAAAAACGAATATCCGCCCCTCCAAAAACTTGCATCCACACCACCTTGTTTTAAAAACAAACTCTGTCCACACGTACCCGGATAAATACGTTGTTAAGGACATGCCAGACCTGTAGGCGGCAGTACTTCCCCCGTTCTTAACCTCGTCCTTCGTCTGTGGTCTTCCGCAAGGAGCAGTAATTCCGCTTGCAAAAACAAACAAGCAAAAAGCGCTTGGACCATTGATAAAGCGAGCGCAGCTCTGAGGGCATCCATGCTGTCGGATAGTGCAAACACAGGTCGCACACGTGATGTCAGCATTGTTTTGTGGCGGAAAGTGACGTTGCGGACCTTAAAACTCCGGTTTTGTCTGTCCACACGCAGACACCCAAAACGGAGAAAACGCAGATCTTCACTTTGGCCGGAGTTTTTAAAAAGATCCGTTTTCGTGTGAAAAAACTCCGTTTTCGTGTGGATGACAGGCCAAAGCATAGAAAAATATCTACGTTTTGGCAGATCCCCGGCTACGTGTGGACAGGGCCTGAGGCTGGCACTGTTGAAAATGGCGGACTGAGCAAATCAAGCAGCTGCTTCTGAGCTCAGAAGATGCTCTAACATTAAATACCATTGTAAAATAAGCATATTAGTAGAAATTAGTTCTTATCCTGTACGATTCGCCACTGGACATGGTGCTGGCTGGTCACTTGACGTATCGGCAGCGAACCTGGTATCCCGACGGCTGGAAACCTTGTCCTGTTGTTGCAGCTACAACCTTCACACACTAGATGTCGCTTTGGTGTTTGTGTTCCATATTCAACCTTAAAGGCCTAAATGAGTGGACACTAAACCCCTAAGTTAGCCTTAAACAAGCTGTTGGTGATTCACTTTAAACGTGACTTTGTCCTGACGGTGGCTCGTGCTCCTGGCTGCAGACTGAGGACGCCTCTTCATCCATTTTGGTGAAGAAGGACGAGCCTGAGGAGAAGCCGGAACCAATGGAGGTGGAAGAAAAAAAGCCGAAAATAAAGACGGAACCCAAAGAGGACGAGGAGAGTGGATCCAACACCTCGACATCTGCATCCCCCTCTCAGTCACGGAGGAAAAGTGAGTCAGAGATTAATCTATCTTCATAATCTGACTTGTTTCTATTTTTACTCCACTTGTCTTCTTGCCGTTGTTTATTTTTCAGTCTTCAAGCCAGAGGAGCTGCGTCAGGCTCTGATGCCAACACTCGAGTCTCTTTACAGGCAGGACCCAGAGTCTCTGCCGTTCCGACAGCCGGTGGATCCCATGCTCCTGGGCATCCCAGTGGGTAGCACACAGGCTGAGCAAACCTTTAGATAAGAACTAACCCTGATCGATTTTGTGAGTTTACTAAAACTATCAGCTTGTTTTGTTTGTTGATTCTTCTTCAGGACTACTTTGACATAGTTAAGAACCCGATAGATCTCTCCACTATAAAGAGGAAGCTAGACACAGGACAGTACCAAGAGCCTTGGCAGTATGTGGACGACGTGTGGCTGATGTTCAACAACGCCTGGCTCTATAACCGCAAGACTTCCCGAGTCTACAAGTACTGCTCCAAGCTGGCAGAGGTGTTTGAGTCAGAGATTGATCCTGTCATGCAGGGTCTGGGCTACTGCTGTGGGAGGAAGGTGAGGCACAAGTGCACGTACCATTTATTTGTCTCAACTAGGGCTGCAACAATGAATCGATAAATTCGATGAAAATCGATTACTAAAAGCGTTGGCAACGAATTGCGTCATCGATTCGTTGTGTTGCGCAACTCTTCCAAAAGCCCCCCTCCCCGGCCGCCGTTGCGCACAGACCGGAAGCAAGTCAGATCAGCGCGATGGAGAGCCGGGTGAAGCAGCGAGACCCAAAAAAGTAAAAACTTCTAAAGTTTGGGAGCATTTTCAATTAAATCAGGCGAAGACATTCATTACCTGCAAAGTTTGTAGGTCAGACTTAGCATGGCACGGGAGTACTAGGTGATGCAGCATCTTAAAAGCAAGCATGCCGAATCAGCGAGGAAGGAGAGAGCTCTGTGTCCGGGTAAATTAAAAGCTTTTCAAAAGTGATTCACCCAAGCCCCGGATTATTACACAGGCTAGACATGCCCTAAGCTCGTAAAAAAAAGTCTATAAAATCGTAAACGCGACGCTATTAGATAGGCGGGGGGGGGGGGACTTGCGCTGCTGCGAACCGGTGTTGTGCCATAAATCGACTCGCTGCCAAAAAATGATTAGCCACTGAAGAAAGGAAGGGGGAAAAAATCAAATCACTGGAGAATTGTTTATTTACATTTATACAACGTTTACATTCAATACAGGGCGCCATTTTACATTATTTATTTTTTAGTATCAAGGCTGTAACATAAAGAAAGCCAGTTCTTACCACAAACCATCTTTCAATCGCAAATATTGCAAAAAGGATTAATATATCCTCATTGTGAACGTTTAAGACAAATAGCAACACTTAAAACAACTTCTGAACTGGAAAAAACTAAGCTAATCATTTTTTGGCAGTGAGTCGATTTATGGCGCAACACCAGTTCCGCCGTCACATTCCCGCAGAAACTGGTTATTACACCGGGGCCAGGCTACTAACATGTGGCTTTACAACCAAAATGTCCTCAGAAGCGAAAACGCTTTTAAAAGGGAGGGAGAAGTACCAACTCTCGCTGCAGGCGTGTTGTGTGAGTGCAGTTATATACTGGTTAATATATTTTGGGTTCAGTTGCTTTCATGTGGCCTAATGTGAGTCTATTTGGGATCATTGGAATGATCAGCAGCATTTCTTGATGTGACTTTATGGCAGTTGCCCAGGACATCATCACAAGGAGGATGGCATTCATTTACTTTTGTTTTATTTGGTATTTTTCAGTCATTTTTGGAAATAGTGATTAATTTTGATTAATTCACAGCCTATGTTTAATTACATTTAAAAATTAGTTGTTTGACATCCCCAATTATAATAAATGTCTACAGATGAGATCAAACAAAACAGATGAGAATTGCCCTTAAAGAGCAAGTCACCCCCAAATAAACATTTTTTTTTTTTTGCTGATAAACTAAATAAACGAGTGTCTAATCGTGCTGCAGACACGTGTCGTCAATAATTTGGCACTTCAGTGCATCTTAGTTCAAATTTAAATATTCTGCCTCTGCCTAAAACTGGCAGTGTTGTGCCGTTGTCAGGTAAAAACTCTGCACTGTATTTTAATTTAAATCTGCCACCACTATTGGCTAAGAAGTATGCTATGATGTAAACTGGTACATTATGATGTCACAATGCTGTTGTGAGCCTGAGTGTGTGTGTATTTGTTAGCGGCTCCGCCCTCTCGGTCTGCCAGGCAACAGCATGTGTTTCATTTTTCAAACATGAAGTGGGAGTGGAGTTAGACTCTGGTAGGGGTTGACTTGCTCTTTAAGCTGTTTAACTTGGACCAAGCATTTTAGGTCACAGATAGGTGTAGCTTAGGGTCTCTGTCTATACACCTTATAAGACAATTTAGGTGATGACATGTTGTTTTTCTGCTATTGAACTGTTTTCTAATAATGTTGTGTTTAATAAAGTGAAGGAAGGAGAGAAATAACGTTTCCCTAGCAGTTTTTAACAATGTCCCCATGTAATCCGATTAATCGATTAATCGTGTCGAGACCCCATCCGATTAATCGATTATCCAAATAATCGTTTGTTGCAGCCCTAGTCTCAACCTTATTTCTGATCATTTATTATTAAAATATTTCATTCTGAGTAATAAATTATGCTTTTAGTGGATTTAAAATGGCTCATTTTTGACATTAGCATGTAGATTAGCATCTATCTTAATTTGTCACCATGTGGATTAAGTTTGGGCGATGTATAAAACTTTCCAAGCAATTTTGGTAAGTCTTATCTAATGACGACGGGCGGGGCCTGACAAACACGGCATCGAGAAATCCACCAATCACGATCGTTCTTACTTTGTGGAAGCAGCCCACGCGGGGTCCACGTGAGAGATTGCTATTCAAAAGTAAATGACCATTACATGCGTCAACCAAAACTGTGCCACAGCATGGTTAGTATGAGCTGCTCATGAGAAGAGGGGGTGGCACTTCTGACCTTTTGGCCAAAAGTTGAGAAAGATTTTGTCTGGACCAGGTAAAATGTTGATCACAAGATTGAAGCTAATATGAGGATGCTAACAGGTTATGAGAGAGAGATGCAGCCAAAGGACATTTTGTTTCTTTTCAGCGGTGTTGTTGGATTGTGGACCTAAGACTAATTATTTTATTGGAGTACTTTTGTTGGACCCTTGTAGACGTTCTTCTGGTTGGCTCTACTTTGTTGATTTATATGAGGCTTTGAATTCTACAGTGGTTGTAACATTATTATTGGATTAAATCATTAGAATCACAACAATCTTTGGCTTCTAAAGATGTATAATACCTACATGTACACACTGTTCAGCAAAAACGAGTACACCCCCTTTAAAAAGTCCGAATATAATCAGGTCAACGAATAAAAGAAGAATTTCCAGAATTTTTACAAGGCTGGGTTTGATTGAACACTTGTTTAACTCCATAACATGAAATTAAGGTTAATAATATAACTTAGATCACAAAGTCTTCAGTTTTACTAAAATAGGTCGAAGTAAAAATGAATACACCCCGCAACAAAAACTACTACATCTAGAATTTTGCATGACCACCATGATTTTCAAGGAGAGCACCAAGTCTTCTAGGAAGGAATGAACAAGTTGGCGACATATTGCATCATCTATCTTTTTCCGTTCTTCAAGAATAACCTCTTTTAGAGGCTGGATGCTGGATGGAGAATGATGCTCTACTTGTTGCAGGTGTTTGATTGGGTTCAGATCAGGTGACATACTTCGTCATTTAATCACCTTCACCCTGTTCTTCTTCAGAAATGCAACAGCAGCTTTAGATGTGCGTTTTGGTTCGTTGTCGTGTTGGAAAAGTGCACGATGACCAAGTGCGCAGAGTGATGGCAGCATCATCTTCTCCCCAATACCAGCAGCACTCATGCAGCCCCCACATGAGGACACCACCACCACCATGTTTCACTGTAGGCACCATGCATTTCTCTGTGAAGTCCTCACCTTTGCAGCGTCCCGTTCCAACAACAGTGATCTTTGTCTCATCACTCCAGAGTCTAGAGTCACAGTAGTCTTCATCTCTTTCAGCATGGGCCCTAGCAAGTCCTAGGCATGCCTTTTTGTGCATGGGCTTTAGGAGAGGCTTCCTTCATGGATGATACCCGTGCATGCCATTCCTCTGCAGTGTGGTGTCACGGGAAACGATCACTCCAGTTTGGCTTTCTACTGCTTTAGCCAACTGCATTGAACTTGGATGATGATATTCTTTAACCCTTCTCACCAGAAGACCTGCCAATGTTAACTTCCATGGATGGCCTGGCCTGTACGTCTCTTTAAGATGGTTGCACTTCCATCTTTACATTTTTGAATCACTTTTATTACAGTATTCTGACTGATATGTAAAGCTTTGCTGATATTTGTGTAGCCCTCTCCTTTTTGTGTAAAGAAATGATTTCCTTAAATGTTGTGATATTTCTCTTCCATGTGGATTTGTTGCTAACAGCATGAAATGGGAAGGGCTTTTCTTTAAGTGATGCCCCTTCTGCTGGACACCTCTTAAATGAATCAATAGATTCACCTGTGGTTGAACGCCTGTTGATTTGAATTTTGTAGTTTTGGGTGTGGCTTCTCTCCTGAGTCTATAATTGGGGTGTTCTCATTTTTGCAACATGGGCTTGGATGGATTTGTTAGGAAAATCACTTTTTTGTGTGTGTGTGAAAATGAACACATCTTGTTTGTAATCAACGGCCCACGTTTGTGGGAGTATTTTATAGTTTGGTATCTCATAGAAAATGTTGATTCTGGAAGGCAACTAAATGTTTTCTGGTGAATGTTGTGGGATGTACTCATTTTTGCTGAGCACTGTAGATATGGTGTTGCAAAAGACACTTTTTTTGTCATGAAGTTTGTAATGCCCCATCTGCAAGACGAACTCGTACACAAAAAGCGATCGATGACGGGCTCGGCCTATCATCTGAGGTCTGTAAATCCGTCCAATCGCCCAACCTTAGTGTGGATGTCCCATCGTTTTTTTTGTTCTGCATCTAATGGAAAGCTTTCTTTTCTTTGCAGTACGAGTTCTCCCCTCAAACGCTCTGCTGCTACGGCAAACAGCTCTGTACCATACCTACTGGAGGCACTTACTACAGCTACCAGAACAGGTAGCTATGGGTCCTTGGGTCTAGACCTTTTCTGTCTTAAATAGTCTCTAACATTAATTTAACTGATGAAATGAAAGTGTCACCCATTCACTCAAACTGGTGTTCTGATCATGATAAACTCCTGGAGAGTTGCTTTCATCAGTCTAATGCTCCAGCACAAAACGTTTTTTACTCATTTACTGTCGTTTTCCAGCATTATTCATGAAGTGAAACACAAAACAAATGTAATTGTTTTGTTGTCGGGAACTGGGGGATTTTAACGTATTTTCCTGTTCTTCTTTAGAAATTAAACCAAAACAGAAAATAAAGCTCTGAGTCCTACAAACTAAATTTACCAGCATTGCCTTCCTTTGCAGTTGTGGCAGGATTGTCCACGTTATTTTGCTCCCCCTGCTGTAAAACCTGTGCAACTGCAGCCCCTATTTTATTTTCAACATCAGACTGTTTGAGTTAAGCTGCAGCCATAAATGAGGCAGAATCAGGCTCTGGCAGGGATGTCCGTTTACACTCCCAACGGGAGCTGGAGGATCCCCTGCTGTCTGTCAGAAAACATCAAAATTGTCACAAACAAGTGGCTCAACATCAAATCAGAGTTTTACTGATCTGCAGAGGTCTGGCTACATTCTTACAACTCCTAACGAGCGTCATGTCTTTACTTCCAGGTATCATTTTTGTGAAAAATGCTTCAATGAGATCCAGGGAGACAGCGTGACTTTAGGAGATGATCCTGCACAGCCACAAACGTATGTTCTGATGCAACTCTAAGTTGAGCTGAATATTGTTTAGAATTAAGATGCAAATGTTACAGAAGATGAAATCTTAGCCTTTTAACTGTCAGAGGTGTCATTGATGAGCGGTTTAGTCACTTTTTCTTTTTATTCCTCCCTCATCTCTCCAACACCTCAGCATGATTTCAAAAGACCAGTTTGATCGTAAGAAGAACGACGTTCTTGACCCTGAACCGTGAGTAGAAATCGCCTCTAAACCCTTCAGTTTACGGACAGGAAGCTTGTGTTCTGATCTTTTTTGATGAATTGTCATTTTACTGTTATTGCTAACATATTTGCGACCTGTCAGAATAATCTCAGCCGTCTCTCCCTCCTCCGATTGGCTTCTCTGTTCTGTGTTTTTGATTCTGTCGTCATATTTTTACCAGTAACCAGTAAACATGCTGACTGCCACCAGCTCTATCAGCTGCTTCCACCTAATCATGAGTCTCATGTTTATATCTGTTGGATCATTTTGTGACTCCAGTTAGATTAGAGGTTTTTAACTTTGAGCTCCTTCTAATGATGCTCCTGCATTGGCTGTCACTAGGGGTAGAGAATGGATCTGAATGAGATGTGTTCTTGTCTTTTTACCATCTTAGTATCTAAAACACACTCCCAAATATTTACAAGGATCTCTTAGATCAGTATTTGATCGTTTATCACTCATTTCATTGAAGGACACCAAAATCTAATAAACTATATTTTATCCTTTTTCCCAGATTTGTTGAATGTAAAGACTGTGGACGCAAGATGCACCAGATATGCGTTTTACACTACGAGGTTATTTGGCCGTCTGGGTGAGATGCCTTTTTATGCAGATTTGTAAACGAGGCTTTAGTGTTTGAGCCTATGAAAAGTAAATATTAACTTTTTTTTTGTCCTTTCAGATTTATCTGTGACAGTTGTTTGAAGAAAAGTGGAAAATCACGAAAGGAGAACAAGTTCACAGCAAAAAGTTTGTATTCATTGTTTTCGTGAATTTTATGACTTGTAGCTCCTCCCCACTGTTTGAGCTCTTAATGCAGCGTCCTGTAGCTCGACCCTGTCGCATGACTCTGACAGCTACTGATGGTTGTGCTTCGCTGCAGGGCTGCAGTCCACCCGACTGGGAATGTACATAGAGGACCGTGTGAATAAATACTTGAAGAGACAGAACCATCCGGAAGCCGGAGAAGTGTTTGTGCGAGTGGTGGCGAGCTCAGACAAAACGGTGGAGGTCAAACCCGGCATGAAAGCGAGGTAGGATCATCTCGCTCGGCTGGGGGCGGATCTGGATCTGGGTCTGGGTTAGAGGTGGGAAAAATGATCGATTCTAAGATGCATCACGATTCAGCCGTGCACGATTCCGCATCGATGCAGCAACGTGACATAATGAGATTCTCTCCCTATGTCTATGTCGGGGGTCGGCAACCGCGGCTCTGGAGCCACATGCGGCTCTTCCATCCATCTGATGCGGCTCCCTGTGCTTGTAAAATAATGAATGGATATTTAAATAAAAAGCTTTATATTTTACTGCATTAATTTTACATCTGTAAGCCAATTCTAAATGTAAAGATTGTCTGCGTAAACCTGAACAGTTCCAACCCGGTCTTACTGTGAGACTGGGTTGACGCGTCATGCTTGTGCGTCATATAGGCGCTTTCGGAGCTGACGAGGATGTGAGATTCTGGGATTCTCCTCAGACAGGTTCCTGGATGTGTCGCCACATTGGAGACAGGAACAAGCACTATTCAGCCAAAGTTTCATAATCAGGGAACATTTTCTAAGTGACAAGTCTCGCTTCAGTGGGAGGAATCTTCCTGCATGCGCTCTGGTTCTGCGACGCGCTCCAAGCCCCTCTCCACATCTTCAGCTCGCTGTGCACCGTACGTACGCGCTGACAGCGAGCTGCGCTGAGCGGTGTCCAGCTCAGATGTTCAGATGGGAATCTTTTCTTGGGTGATTTAGCTACATCTGTGCGAAACGAATAAAATGTCAGTTCGTCTGCATGCGTCGGGGTAATTCTTTCTATTCTTTCTCCGTCAAAATAAACGGTCAAATACGGGAACTGTCCGGTCAACACAAGCCCTGCTTTTAACTGTTCTGTTTTCTTGTGAAAATTGTTGCAAAGAGATATAATTTAACTTGATTACCACCAGAGCCAGGCGCACCGCGCCGTTATCTCCGTCGCTGTAAATGAGGGAAAAACAAATTGATCGGATCCTTTTCTGACCTTCCCCACCTACAAAGTTTAATTACAACAATCAAACGTGACAGAGCCTGGATTTGTATTCTGAACAGTCTAAACATGTTTTAAAAAGAAACGTATGACAAAAGTGGCACCTGCTCAGTAAAACCACCAACAGGGTGAAAAATATCAAAATATTGTAGGCAGAGACGGGCTACAGCTTCTGGATCAACTTTATATAAATCGTTTTATTGATTATCGTCTTATGAAAGATAACTTTGACGTACACGAGCGACCGGTACCGGCTGCTGTCTGAGGGTAGGCCCCGCCCACAGCGCCGTGGCTCCCCGTGTTTTCTTTACTGTGGGAAACGGGTAATAATGGCTCTTTGATGGGAACAGGTTGCCGACCCCTGGTCTATGTCTATGCGAGGACAATAAAGTTTTGAGGTTTTACAATTACTTCTGGGGGCAGAGTTGCAATGACATGCTGCGTTGCCCTAGCGCCAATTTAAAACCGAAAAGGCGGACAGGGATACAGGGCCAACATAACCAGTAATCAAAGATGCACCCGTTACATTTAAATCGGATGTCTGGGCTAATTTCAGTTTTGGGATCCTGGATGTGAAAGAATCACTTAACACAGTATTTGTTTACTATGTTTAAGTTCAGTAATATTCTGTCTTAAAGCTGCTCTACCGAAAACATTATTTCTTTTATTATTTAAGTAATTATAGGCAGCACACTTTAAACATTATTGCTCACTATAGTGAATAGATGAATGTTCTGTTTTTTCAGGGATTTCGAAATCAAAAAGAAATTGAAAACTATTCTACTGCTTTTATTAAGTAATGAAAATTTTTGTGTGAAGAATCGTGATGCATTTCAGACTCGAATCGAATCGTTAGGCAGATAATTGGAATCGGATCGAATCGTGAGGCAGGTAGAGATGCACACCACTAGTCTGGGTGGCGTAGTTCAGAGTTAAACTCCATCAGAATACGGAGTGTTGGCATGTTAGCTTAGTTTTTTGTTCATTTGTGTTATTTTGGGTAAATAAAAGCTCTGCTAGTCAACAATCACGATGAGGCAGACGGGTCAAACAACAGCTTTGACCTCTTAGATTTGCTGATGAGCAAACCGTAATTTTATTGTCGTCTCACAGGCCTGAGTGCCTCCTGTTAGGGTTTAATACCTACTCAGAGTAATTACCGAACCTTAAAGCTGAAGAGGATGGAGCACACAGCCTCACCGTGAAGTTTAATTTTTTCACACTACTCTGATGTCCATGCTGTCCCTGTGGGGATGAGGACTTCCCCTCCGAGCCTCTCCACTGATTGAAGCCTTTTTCATATCTACTAAAGGTCATGGAATCCAGTCTCTAAAGCCTGTTTCTTTAAACCAAAAAACCTTTACGTCATATATAAAGTTTCACTCATTACTTTTGCACCATACTTAAATCTGCAAAGAACTGAAGCATATAATATAATATAATATATTAGTCTTTAAACCTGATGTGAAGAGGTATACTGGGAAACCTTTTTTTTAGCATATTTTTGAAAGTGATCCATCCCTCTTAGTTTAACATGCATTGTAGTTGTCACCTTTTTCACTCCCTCTGAGTTTGCAGGTATGTGTAGAGTTGTGTTGTTTGCCAATCAGAGGCGAGATGTCCAAATATTAGGAAATAAAACTCCAAATCCTGTCGTCTGGCTGAATCCTCTGGGCTGAAACAGGCGAACCAGAGCTCTTTCTCCTCAGACGAAGCCAGAGACCACTGCCAGTGTATTAAAAATGAGTAAAGGACACCTTTAAACTTGTTTGTTTTTGTGACTACAGGTTTGTGGACACGGGCGAAATGCCTGAAACCTTCCCCTACAGAACCAAAGCACTTTTTGCATTTGAGGAAATCGACGGAGTGGATGTGTGCTTCTTTGGCATGCACGTGCAGGAGTATGGCTCTGAATGCCCATTTCCTAACACTAGGTTGGTTTAATTATACTGTAATGTTTTTCTGCAAATATCAGCGTATAATGGGACTCTTCTCTTGTGCAGGCGGGTCTACATATCATACCTCGACAGTATTCACTTCTTCAGACCTCGGATCCTACGAACAGCAGTGTACCACGAGATCCTCATCGGCTACCTTGAATATGTCAAAAAACTTGGGTGAGTTTTACTCCTCTGTCCTTCTGAAGGCTTCCCACGAAAGAAGCCGACAGCTGTGTTTGTTCCTTCACTTCCTGAATTGGACTTTTTGGTGTGTGTGGTGCTGAAGCTACACTCAGGGCCACATCTGGGCGTGCCCACCCAGTGAAGGAGACGACTACATCTTCCACTGCCATCCTCCCGAGCAGAAGATCCCCAAACCCAAGAGACTACAGGAGTGGTACCGGAAGATGTTGGACAAAGCTTTTGCTGAGAGGATCTTACACGACTACAAGGTTACAATAATAGAATATAATTATGTTTTTATTGCATATACGTTATTTACAAATAGGGATGGGTACCGAATTCGGTACTTTTTTGGGCCATTCCCATCTGTACCGGGTCGGCCCCAGCCTGGCACGGTTGATTCCACACATTCTTGTCTTAAGCCCATGTGGGCTGATTCTACCCACCAATCAGAGGCTTGCTCTAATGGAAGGTGTGAATTTGCTGTCAGCAGTGGGTGTGTTGACCCTGGTCGGCCTGAAGCAGACCCCCTCGAGAAGAGGGCTGAGAATGAGCCTTGGTTGGCCCGGAAAAATACCAGGCCACCCAGATATGTAAACAACCTACGCTACCCAGCCTGGGCCGACCCGGTACAGATGGGAATGGCCCACTAAAGGTACCGACCGAATTCCATAGTACCGACCGAGCACCGATTCACGTCATTTCAAACGGTGCCTCGTTTCGGTACCCGTCCTTCATAACGAGAACTTGCCAAGACAGCTGCGCATGCGCAAGAGCGTTATGTCGTTGGTCCCTGCGAGCCAGTTGTAAACAGAGCAGCATGGTAGAAAGAACGCACGCTAAAGCTTGGGTCCACTTCACTAAATGTGATGGGTAACTGGGTGATGATGAAACCAGCGACAGACAACGATCTAAGTGAGACATCCTCATCTTAATCTGCTCCGGTAGGTAAATAAAATGTTTAAGATAACGTTAGCTTGATATGTTAGCTTCCGTTTCGCTAATGGTGCGTTCGCTTTCTCCTCGGAACTCTGAATTTCCGACTAGAACATGAACGCGCTCTAAAGTTTGGCTTTACTTTACTAAATGCGACGGGTGATTGGGTGAAGATGAAACCAGTGACAACGATCTAAGTGTGAGGCATCATCGTTTTAATCTGTTCCAGCAGCTGAATAAACTGTTAAAGATAACGTTAGCTTGATATGTTAGCTTCCATTGCCACCGTTGTTATCAGCTAATGGTGCGTTCGCTTTCTCCTCGGAATTTCTGACTTCCCAGTAGGAAAAATCAACTGAAAAAGGACAGCAAAAGGAATGAAGATACACAGTAAATTTAGTTCACAGTAAAGATGTTTGCTTCAGTTTAATTATCAGCTTATAAAACTACAAGGACGATGTTAAAATACAAACAGTTGAATGTTATTTATCGTGATATTTATCAAATATTGTTATATATTGAGAAAAATATATATTTAATTATAAAAGAGAATTAAAATAATAAACACTCAAAAGTATCGAAAATTGGTACCGTTAAGTACCGGTATCGATTCGTAGGTACCGGGAATTAGTACCGGATCGATTCAAATGTCAAAGGTACCCATCCCTATTCACAAAGCTTTGGTGGTCAAACAGAAAATCAAGTAAGATTTAGATATCAGTACAAATATTAGAAGTGACACATTATTCATGTGCTTTTTTATTTTAGGACATCTTCAAACAGGCGACCGAAGACCGATTGACCAGCGCCAACGAGCTGCCGTACTTCGAGGGCGACTTCTGGCCCAACGTGTTGGAGGAGAGCATTAAGGAGCTGGAGCAGGAGGAAGAGGAGAGGAAAAAAGAGGAGAACACAGCTTCTTCTGAAACCCCAGAGGTACGATATCTGAAGATCATCATTAAATCACGTTTTAGTGTTTTTCTAAGTTATTTATACTAATAAGACTTTTTGTCGTTTTAATTTCTTCAGGGCACACCGAGCGACAGCAAAAATGCTAAGAAGAAAAATAACAAGAAGACCAATAAAAACAAGAGCAGTGTGAGCCGAGCCAACAAGAAGAAGCCTGGGATGCCGAATGTAGCCAACGATTTGTCCCAGAAGTTATACGCCACCATGGAGAAGCACAAAGAGGTCTGATTGATGAATTTAAAATCAAGAGTGTCCTAGATCTGCAAGATTTATTCATTTGTTTGGTTTCATTATTCTTTTTGCTTCTCCAATCTGATCCGTTCTTTTCTGCTTCAGGTATTCTTCGTGATCCACCTTCACTCTGGACCCATGGCCAACACCTTGCCGCCCATCGTTGATCCTGACCCGTTGATCTCCTGCGACCTGATGGACGGTCGCGACGCCTTCCTGACTCTGGCCAGGGACAAACACTGGGAGTTCAGCTCCCTCCGGAGGTGCAAGTGGAGCGCTATGTGCATGCTGGTGGAGCTTCACAACCAGGGACAGGATCGCTTTGTTTACACTTGTAACGAGTGCAAGCACCATGTGGAGACACGCTGGCACTGCACTGTGTGTGAGGTGAGTCTGAAAGCAGAAATTTGTTATCAGAATGAGCAGAACCATTGGTTGGACGTGTGTTAATTACTAATTCCCTGCCTTTTTTTTTCAGGACTTTGATCTTTGCATTAATTGCTATAACTCAAAGGGCCACGAGCACCAGATGGTGAAGTGGGGTCTTGGCTTGGACGATGATAGTAACAGCCAGAGTGGAGAGGCCTCCAAGAGCCCACAGGAGAGTAGGCGTTTAAGTATTCAGCGATGCATCCAGTCTCTGGTCCACGCCTGTCAGTGCCGCAATGCTAACTGCTCTCTGCCGTCCTGCCAGAAAATGAAACGAGTGGTGCAGCACACCAAGGGCTGCAAGCGCAAAACCAACGGCGGCTGTCCTGTTTGCAAGCAGCTCATTGCTCTGTGTTGTTATCATGCAAAGCACTGTCAGGAGAACAAGTGTCCGGTCCCGTTCTGCCTGAACATCAAGCAAAAGCTTCGCCAGCAGCAGCTGCAGCACCGACTCCAGCAGGCCCAGTTAATGAGGAGAAGGATGGCCACCATGCAGGGCAGAACCGTGCCACTACCGTCCCCACCGCCCTCCGCTGCCCCCAGCACTCCCACTTCCCACACCCAGCCTAACACTCCTCAAACGCCGCAGCAGCCGCTCTCCAATCAGCCGCAGACCCCCAACTCAGCAGGTGTCATGTCCCCCTCATTTCCCAATGCGCCCCGTGCCGGCCAGCCTCAAGCACAGGTCCCCCAGGGCAAACCCGGACCCCAGGCCTCCCCTCTACACCAGCAGCAGTCTCCCCTCCCCCAGCAGCCCCAGCCACCCCAGCCGCGGCAGCAGCAAGCTCCCCTTGCCGCCATCAAGATGGCACACCACATTGAGATGATGGCACAGGCCCAACAGAACCAGCAGAACTACAGGTTCGCTACCAACGGTGGCTTGCCCATTAACCCCCAGCAGCCTCAGCAGCGCATGGCCGGACCAATGCAGCCCACAATGCAGATGGTACCGCGTGGTCCGCAGGTAGTGGCCCAGGGACAGTGGCCTGCAACTGCAGGTCCTATGCAGGCAGCTCAGACTCGACAACCAGGCCTAGTCCAGGGTCAGAACCCCCAGCAGGCCATGACCATGCAGCGAGCTATAATTGTGCCTGGGCAGCAAACGCAGCAAGCCCAGAGGATGTTAATACCACAGCAACCTGGCTGCCGGCCACAAACACCCCAGAGACCTAGTACTATACCCCCAAACGCCCTTCAGGACCTTCTCCGCACCCTAAAATCCCCAAGCTCACCTCAGCAGCAGCAGCAAGTCCTCAACATCCTCAAGTCAAATCCTCAGCTAATGGCTGCTTTTATCAAACAGAGAACAGCCAAGTACCACGCCAACCAGCCGCAGCAGCAGCAGCCACAGGTGGGTCAGCAGCAGCAACAGCAGCCAGGCATGCAACCCCTGCAGACCATGGCTATGCCTGGAGCACCAGTGCAGAGGCCTGGGATACCTCCACAGCAGCCACAGCAACCTCCTGTGCAGGGGATGGCTTCAATGGGGACTCCAGGGCAGCTGATGAATACGGCACATGCTACTCCACAGCAGATCCAGGAGCTCTATCGCCGGCAGCTGTTACGACAGCAGCAGCAGCAGCAGCAACAACAGCAGCCTCAGCAGCAGCAGCAGCAACAAGGAGTGATGCCTCAGAGCCACCTGGGCCAGTTCCCTGCTCAGGCGCAGGGGACACCAGCCATGTTCACCCACCTCCGCATGCAGCAGCAACAACAACAGCAGCAGCAGCTAGCCATGCAGGCTGGTGCAACAGCAACAGGGGTACAGATGGGCCAGCTTCCACCCATGACTCAAATGGCTCAGCCTGGCATGGGGATGGACGCCACCCAGAACTTACTGCATCAGCGGCTGCTTCAGCAGCAGCAGCAGCAGCAGCAAGCCCAGCTTCCCCCGCAGCAGCAGCAAGCTGTCCTTAAGCAGCAGATGGGTTCTCCTGCCCAGCCAAGCCCCATGAGTCCCCAGACCCACCTCCTGGCAGGCCAAGCTCAGGGTGCAGCTCACCTCCCCAACCAGCCTGGACTCGCCAACGCCTTGGGCAGCCAGGTCCGCTCCCCCGCACCGGTCCAGTCCCCATGTCCGCCCACGCAACCACAGCCACCACATTCCAGCCCGTCGCCGCAAATCCAGATCCAACCCCAACCCTCACCTCAGCACCCGACTCCGCATCATTCGGGTTCCCCCCACCCAGGTCTCGGTGGGCCGCTCCAGTCCATGGAGCAGGCACACTTGGGAACACCAGAACAAAGCGCCATGCTCCCACAGCTGAACACACCCAACAGAGGGGGGCTGAGCAGCGACCTGGGGCTGGTGGGCGACGCAACTGGAGACACGCTGGAGAAGTTTGTGGAGGGATTGTAGCATTTTTTACTGGGAGCTAAAGAACTCTCACTCCCAGGAACCCATCCTCAGACTCCTCCCCCAGTTTTCTCTGACTCATCCCTTTAGAGGGCTCGTTTGTTCTTTCTAAGGTGGAGAAACGTGTTTTTGTTTTGGGGTTTTTTTGTACTGATGTGTAAAAAGTTTCAGCTGTTCTGCTCAAGAAAAAAAGTGAACACTTTGTGGTAATGTACATGTTTCCTACCCCCAGATGGTGGAGATTTCTTCCTGGAGACATTGAGGGATTTGCAAATCTCTTCTTAAATAAAACAAAATCACAAAGAATATATTTTTGGTTGAGACCAAATGTGTTCAGTACTTCAGTTTGTTTCTGGTTTTTGGAGTGGTTTCATGCCTTTCTCTCTTAATTTCTTTTTTTTTTTTTTAAGAAAATGTACAATTGCATTATATCATTCATATCTTTATTTTGTACCTTTGGAGAAAGAAAACGTAAATCGTTTTGTGTTTAAACTGTAAAAATATTTGTCTGAGAATTGGGCCAGGTTTTTTTTTTTTTTTCTCTTAAGCTGTCATTCCTGGCGATTGTAATCTAGTATTGAACCATTTCTGCAAGACGATGCGTTCAGGGACGACGACTGCCCCTCTTACGTTTTTGTGTGTATGAAGAGCACTCGGTGGTATTAAAGTAGGAAATGTCCTGCAGCAGGTTGTGCGCGCACGCACACACACACAGGCATGTATGTGCACACACACGAAGACACTGATCAATCCTCACAGTCACTAAGACGCATCCAGCTTTCTGTGGATTCAAAAGTTCGGTTTGAAAAGTTCTGTCTTGCTGGTGTAGAAACTTGTTGCTTTGACATTAAAAGGAATTTGTCAGACCTTTTTTGTCACACAAATGTAAAGTGTAAAGAGAGTGTGAGAAAGAGACCAGCCCCCTAAGCTGCGGCGGATTGAAAACCAGTTGTCTGTAGAACCCGTCTCCCGGCCGGTCCCCTTCCTTTTACACTAAAGTTTTGATCTTCGGAGGGATGAAGCGCACATTTGAGAAAAGCTAAACGTCATTCACCCTCATTCCTCTCACAGAAACTTGAATTGGGGGGGGATTTACCTTTTCTCCTGTTGTAAATCAACTTATTAAGCAAAATGCTATAAATATAAGGAAGAGAGAATGAAATCACTGTACAAACTGGTAAAAGATTCATTTCTTACTTATATACCATATTGTTAAATAAACCGTGTTCAGCAGAAGAACTTCAGTACTCTGTTGGCTGAATGAGGCAATACTCCATGTGTGTTCATTTGTTACTGCTGTTCTCATCAAAGCTGCAAAGAATAGTCTCATTTAGGTTTTGGGGGAATTTGCATAAATGCCTTCTTGCTGCAAAGTTGCTTCTTCAAATTTTGGGACTTTGCAGAGTTGACAGGGTGGTGGTTTAAATACAAATCATTTGTTTTGCATGTCTGGTGTCAGATTTCACAACTCATCTGAATTATTTTTGAATATTAGTCTAAAAAACTAATTGCATGAACCAAAGATATTTCACATTTATGAACTTTTTGAATCCAATTCCATTTTCAGGAATCATCGTCCTTATCTTTGAATTTACTTCACACAGTGAGAAAATCATCTTTTTCAGCTTGTGGAATTTATGCAATGTTCTTCGCTGAGATGATGACATGGCAGCAACCCAGTTTCCCCTATAATTTAATTTACTTGAATGCATCACAGAAACATGAATGATACTCGTGTGGTCTCTTATGCTTCTCGTTTCAGTTTGCACCAATATGTTCGCAGTCATGAGGTGTATCCCAGAAGTCTCCCAAGCGCCAGAAAAGTTGCGAGGCTTCCAACTTTCTTTCAGTGACGACCGTCTTCCCATGCTCTCGCTCCACACCCCCATTTCTCACACTGAAAAAAGTTGGTCTGAGTTGCACGTTGCTTCCAGCTACTCTACGCAAGCTACAGCACCACAAAATCAGTTTAAATTGATCTTGAATGAGCGAGAAGGGGGAATTGAAGCCCTCCAGTGGCGAAACGCTAGAACTAAAGCCTGGTTCTGTTAAATCAGGGGTCACTGACCTTTGTGAAGCTGAGAGCTACTTGAGCCTTTCAAAGGGCTACCAGGTTGATACAGTACTGACCTTTGAACTGGAATAGATCAGAGTTTAATGATTATTTATAATAAACATTTTAATGTATTTTAAAGAAATGTTTAAAAATCTGTATTAATGCCTTGTGATTAAAAATAGATTTATTTATTTAATAATGTTAGACTTGTGCTATCTAGAGAAATGGCCTGAGGGCCCCTTATGGTTCTGGGACCACCAGGTTGGTGACCCCTGTGTTAAATAATTTATTTACCCTCCTTATCAATGAAGCTGTGAAAAATCCTAAAGTTTTTTTTATTTATTTTTTGTCCTTTTGAATATTAATACTGAAGTGAAGAACAGGGAACAGCTTTTATAAAGTTACAGTAGTTAATAGAAACACTTCCTGTAAATTCATTCAAAAACTGCTACTGCATTTTTGGCTACAATTCAAATGTATGTAACAGTGTTAAACAATGGTTGTGTGCAGTGGTGGGCTGTGTCAGCGGCACCAGAACGCGAAGGTTTCCTGTATAATTTTGATCAACTGGATGGAAACACACGAGAACTGATCCTTTAATGTCTGGCTTTTATTATAATTTTTCCTGCCATCTGGCGGACAGAAAAATGTTAAGAATTCATAAAGCTAAACAAGACATTACTCAGTAGTACTTCCTGTAGATTCCTTCAAAATAAAACACTTAAAGAGCAAGTCACCCCAAATCAACTTTATTTGATTATAAACTATGTAAATGAGTGTCTAATCGTGCTGAAGACATGTGTATTCAATAATTTAGCACTTTAGTGCAACTTAGTTAAAAGTTAAATAATCTGCCTAAAGCTGTCAGTGTCACGCCCCCTTCAGGTAAAAACTCTGCACTGCATTTGAATTAAAATCTGCCATTTCTATTGGCTAAGAAGTACACTATGACATTAGCTGGTACATTTTGAAGTCACAATGTAGCTGTGAGCCTGTGTGTGTGTATTTGTCTGCCAGGCAACTGTATTTGTTGCATTTTTCTAAAAGGAGTTGGGAGTGGAGTAAGAGTCTGGTAGGGGGTGACTTGCTCTTTAAAACTAGATGGGAGTTCTAAATTAGTATTAACAGCGTAGTTAGTGTAAATAACAGGAAAGCCATAACGTCTTCGCTTAAACTACTTAACTATTAAAACTCAAATCAGTTTTATTTATCCGTGTTCAACGAGATAAAATCAAAGAGATCAAGCAGGAGCAGCTGTTAACATCACTTCGAACACATCAGATCACACCCCCTCTGGCAGCCAAAAAACATTTAGTCACAAATTTTTACCAGTATTAGTTTGTAATTTCTAATCAAACATGTCAGATATAAAACTGTTAAATCTTAGCTCAAAGACCAATAAATAATCAGCTGCATCTAATAAACACACTAAGACGTTAAAAGGTAATTATTTTGTTTTGAACAGGAAAAGCCTTAATGTATTTGGATTTCTCGATGAATGTATAAACCATCTAAAATAAATCAAATTAAAACCAAATACAATAAAAAACAATTTGGTAAAAAAAAAAAAGAATTTAAAAGAGCTACTAAAAAACTGAGGAAACGTTTAATCACAACAGCAAATTTAATTTGATGGACTTGTTTAATCAGATGAATGAATTTTTTAAAATTATATGCAATATATTGTAATTATATGGTTTAAAAGGCAAAAGTTAAGGTAAGTAAAATTAAAATCAATTAAGATAAAAGAAACACATTTCCAAATCATTCTTATTCGTAATAAACCTTTAGTAACCTTCCAATATAATAATGTCAAAGCAGTACAACATAAATACGGATATATTTGACCTTGAATGTAATATGAGCTAAATATGACCATCTGTATGCGGTAAGTTTGCTCATTTAAAAAGCATATGCAGTAAGTTGACATAATTATTCTGCTATAAAAATAAATGTAAAACTATTGTTTTCCACATTTTATCATGGTCTTTGATATGTTTTGCTCACAATTAATTAATCGTGGGGATTTTTGCACAGCAAACTGTGATTACAACATCTATTTTACCTCAGAAAATTAAATCTACCATAAAATAACTTTGTTTTCTTTCTCCTGCCAGACCAAATAGTCATTTTGCCAAACCTAATGCCCCCCATACACACACAGAAATAAAAATTAAAATAGAGAAAATCCCGAAATGTCGCTCCAAGAAGTTTGTAAATATTGGCAGCCCTGAAGATTTCTTGAAATCTTATTAAAACGGTTGCGAAATTTACTTCAAAACACTGGGGCAAAACTTGAGTCACGTGACTGAAGAGACACCTCACTATTCGTTCATTGACTTTCACGTGACCAGAAGTTAGAAATCCAGCGGTTGTGTGCGGAGTTTTAAAATGAAAACAATCTATTTCGTAGTTAGATTAAAACATTGTTTTCATATTATGTAACTTATATTGTTGAAAATGCATCAGAGTGACGCCGTAAGAAGCGTTTGAAGCAATGAATGATCTAATTTATCAAGTTTCGGTAAGATTAACAGCACACATAGCTAGCTGTGTTTCTGTTTAGCTAATTTACCCTTAACGCTTAATCATAGTTTTTAGTAAAAAAAAAAAAAAAAAAAAAAAATATATATATATATATATATATATATATATATATATATATATATATATATATATATATATATATATATATATATATATATATATATATATTTAATAAAAGTACGTTTGGAGGTTTTGTAGGCGTTTTTTTAATCAGCTTATTTCGTTAAAGTGAGCAGGAATTAAGCTAATCTAGGTCTTTTAGACAATTTCCTTTCTAACGTTGTTTTTTGTGCAGGCTGATTGTAGCAGTTGGAATCATGCTGTTAAGGCATTCTAAAGTGTAAATAAGCACATCATCACCACGATGGACGACTCGGAGCAAGATTTTGTAGATCTGTGCTCAAAGCTGCTGAAGCGAGTTCGCAAGAAAGCCGGAGAACCATCCACACAGAAGATACCAGGACAGAGCTCCAGTCAGAAGGTCCAAGAATACAAGAAGCAGAGGAATGATAAACAGGGTGGAGATTCTGAGTCGAGGTTTGCAGCTTCCCAGCCTGTTGGTGCAGGCTGTGATCTGGATGTGGTCTGTGGGAGGACTGGATGCGGATCAGGAAATCCAGAACCTCCAGCTGACGGAGATCTGAGAACAAAAGACAAAGTTCTTCTTAGGATGCAGCATTTTAAAAGAGTCACCCCACAAAAGATGGTCCGTACTAACGTCAAGATCCAACAAATGAACCAGGACAGCTGGACTCTGACTTCTCAGCATCAAAGACAAGGTAGGAAAGTGGTTTGCACACAGATTTCTAACAGACTTCACTTCGAATGGGCTGGACTTTTTTGCATTCTTTTAAAGTTGTCTTTGTCAGTAGTTCTTAAGCTGTTGTAAACATTTCTCGGCTCACGTTTTAACCCAGATCCTCTAGAGTCTTTCTCCTCTGGCCACCACGCAGAAGGTGACGAGGGTGTGGCTGTAAGGCTCCAGCAGCAGCTGGACAGAGAAGCAGCAAAGGCCCAGATGGTGGACCTGGAGGATGGAGGCCTCTTCTTCTGTCAGATCTGCCACAGAGACTTGTCCCACATGACCCATGAGGGGCGGACACAACACCTCAACAGGTCTGCAGGCTCTCCCACAGAAAACTGATATCTAAAACCAGCTGAGATGTTGTCATCATCTGGGCAAATGAAGAAAAACGCCACACTGCAAAGATAACAGCATCACGTGTTCTTATTGAACATTTAAAGCATCTGTAATCGCAAACGTTTAAATGGAGACACCTGATGTTCATCTGACTGCTGGTCACAATCAGTGTTTGTTGTGTTTTCAGGTGTTTAGATAACAGTGAAGAGAGTGGCCCAGCCCCCCCTCCACCCTCTGCTGTCCCCGACTGTCCCATTTGTGGAAAAAGGTTCAAGTCCCAGAAGAGCCGCTCAGCCCACCTGAAGAGCTGCTCCTCAGACATGGGCGTCTCTCCGGCAATGCTGCTGCAGATCCTGCAGAGACAGGCACAGGAGAGTCAGAGTGCTGCTTCTGCTAACCTGCCGTGAGCCATTCAGTAAAGGATAACGCTGATATTACAGTGGATACAAACTCCAGCTTATGTCTGTTTTCTCTCTCCAGCACACAGCCAGCGGCCAACAAAAGGAAAGGTCCACCCAAGTCGGGCGTTCCAGCCAGGAAGAAGGCCAGAAAGAAGGATGAGCTTCTGGATGAGGAGACGATGGTGGCCCTGGCTTTGTCCGCCTCCATGGTGAAGGAAAAGATGGAAACGGCGCTCCCTCACAGTTCCATGACACCCGTGCTAAAATGGAGACCTGATGCTGGTATAATAACATCACTAAGGGTTCTGGGAAAGTCATTATTACTGCCATTGTGTCTCTGTCATCCCTGCAAACCTTTGAAGGATCTGTCAGATCTGTAACTGTCCAGTGTCCCATTTTCATTTTAAACAGCCCAAACATTTGTCTTCGTCCAGCTAAGCCTTGTCGAAAGAAGAAAAAGGACACAGTACCTCGTCCTCTTCCTCTCCTCCTCGTTCAAGATGCAGAGACAGCCCTGTCCCGGCTCCAGGAACGCGTCTCCGCTCTTCTGCTTCCCAGCCGACCCCCCTCTCCCGCCACCCCAACCCGAAGCCCCAGCACTCTGCCCAGTTTGGAGGGCGCTGCCCCCTTCTGGCAGAGAAGTGCACTGCTGGATGGAGACTCATGTCTGTCTGGTTTCTACTCTACGGAGCTCAAACACTTCTTCACTTCGGGGGAATCAGTAAAGATTTTTATCCATCTCTTCACCAAACACTAAGTGTCAGAGCCCAGTTAAACAGATTTTCTTCCTCTCCACATTTAGACCGACGCAGCTCCATCCAGCCCCAACAAGCAACCCGATTCTTCTGTCCAGCCGGTGAGGGATGGAGCCCCAGATTCAAGACCCAGAGTCTCCATCCTACCACACCGCTCCCAGAACCCCTCCTGCTCATCGACTCCTTCCACCCCTGGGACAGAACAACTCCCGGTGGGCAGCCAGGCCTTACAGGACCTGATAGATTTGGCAGAAGACGGCATGACTCTGACTCAGTATGGATACACCACTAAAGGTAAAGATCACAGACACACTAAAATGTTTCAGATCAGCAAACAAACTTAAATTTCAGACATCCAATCCAGATTGGAACTTTCTGGAAGGTGCACATCCCAGCAGCAGGTCAAACATGGAGGTGGTAGTGTGATGGTCTGGTGCTGCTTTTCTGCATCTGCATCACAGAACCATAAATTCTGCTGTTTAGCAGAAAATCCTGATGGAGGATGTCTGACCTTTGATCTTAATGAGGCTGTTCATGCTGGAAAACCGTCCAATGTGGTGGAATAAAACTGTCCTGCACAGAAAAGTGGGATTCATTTCCTGTTAAAGGCTAGTTACTAGTTAATATAAACACTTTAATATGGTTTTCGCCTCTTAGGGTGTTACAAGCAGTTAGTTGACGGGAATAAAGCACTCTGCACATCATCTAATCACAAGATAGTGCTCTACAGCTGATAGACAATCAGATATGAAGCAGGGGGGCTGGATCACTCAGGTAAGTAAATATTTATGCTTATTTATTTGGCCGACGCTTTTATCCAAAGGGACGTACAATTGTTAACCTTTAGGGCATGTTGTAGTCTGTGGGGGAAACCGGAGTACCCGGAGGAAACCCATGCATGCATGGGGAGAACATGTAACTCTATGCAGATAGACCACCACCGGGTTTCGAACCTGCAACCTTCTTGCTGCAAGGCCTAACAACTGTCCGCCACGCAGCCCGAATATCAAATATTTATTTGGTGCAATAAATAAATAAACGTTTCAACACCACATGTGTGTGCTCCAGCCCCACAGCCTCATGGTTAGTTTAGGGGTCAGACAGTCTGGTTGGGGTGCACTGCTCATCTGAACAGTGGCACCCCAAGGGGTGGCCAAGCCCCTTCTGGAAAAACATTCAGAAATGTTTTTGTTTGTCAAATTTGAGGTAAACATGTTGGCTGCATGTTGTTTTTTTAAACGTGTGGAACACTAATCGTCACTCTGAGTTTTTCATGCAGGCTGAACATGAAAATAGTCTCCTACACCTATCTGCTGCATTAGCTTTTGATAGAAAACAGACGGTGAAACACAGATCTATGTCACACTGAACGTTCATGGACTCACCCATCTTGACTCATGACGGGGAAGGCTGTTGTTGGTTTAGCGTTTAGCAAACAGCAGAGATTGTCTCGGCTAGCAGAAGCTAACCGTTAGCATTAGCAATTTCACCACATGGCAGAAGCTCCTCCAGGCTTGTGTTATTTGTGGGGATAAAACATCAACGTTGCAAGTCGGTGGTAGAGTCGTGTTGCTGTTATCCAATCAGAGGCCAGACGTCTGAATGTCAGGAAATGACTCCAAAACCTGCCGTCTGAAGCTCAGCTGTGATGTGGGTCACTGCTAGTTCCTGGAAATGGCGCACCGGTATATTCCCTCCCCCAAAACTACTTACAAGGGTTAAAAGGTCCCAGAGTTACTAACTTTATGGGGGCGCCACTGCGTCTACAACATTTATGTGACAAAAATCTAAAATAGAGTCAATCTGAAAGAAGATAAATTATTATGAGTCATCTGTCATCGCATTCACATCAGAATCATTTCTGGGTATTTTTATTTAATAATTAAACATTGGGACCTGATAACAAAATGAGGGAAGCTGAATTGAATTTTTACTCAAAGATGTTTAGTAAAATAATTTTTTAAATATTTAAATAGAAAACCCTCATCAGGGCTTTTTTTAAATTATTTTTAA